GCCATCAAAGCGAAGGTAAGGTCATTGGGTGGTTGTCCATGTCTACGAGCCCATCACTGTCAGTGCCCTCATTAGCTTCCACTGGCAACTTGACACAGCTTAGAGTCACCTGAGAAGGAATTTTCAATTGAGGGATTTCCTAGATCAGATTGGCCTATGGGTACGTCTGTGGGTATGTCTTGATTGATAACTGATGTAGGTGGGCCCAGCCCACTGTGGGCAGCATCATTCCCTGAGCAGGTGGTCCTGAGCTGTTTAAGAAAACTAGCTAAGCATAAGCCTGTAAGCCAATCAAACAGCACTCTTATGGTTTCTGCTTCAAGTTTCTGTTTGAGTTCCAGCTCTGACTTCCCTCAGTGATTGGCTTGATGGACTGGAGGTGTAAGCCAAGTAAATCCTTACCTCTCTTGTTGCTTTCTGTCAGTGTTTTTTTTTTTGTCACAGTAACAGATATGAAAGTAGAACAGTTCTCTTGCTGAGAGAACTGAGCAGCCAGGGCTGAACTCAGCTCCTAAAGCTTTTTCTCCCACTCTGAGCTGTCTGAGGGGCCTTCATGTGCTGCCTCTGGCTCCTCAGGGAACCACCCACTAGATGGCCACCATGCAGGGTTTCTGGAGTCTCTGTGGGTGTGGTCTTCAGGAATAGGTACCTGGCAGTAGTCTGGTTACAGAGGCGATACGGGCATCAAGGTGATGGGCTATGCTCAGGAGTTCCTGGGGGCAGGAGGTTGGGGTTTCTTTGGGACCCACCCAGCCTAGAGGTTCAACAAGTCTCCAATGCCCTCCATTACTTCCTGGAAATGGGCTCTTAGGTGGGCAGGCAGACAGTTCAATGATTCTTTCTATGTAACATATTTTCTACCAAGATTATTTGTCGGGAGAGAAATCTCCCTTCAAAGCTAACTCCCAGCCCTCAGAGGTAGTCATAGGGTAACATGGCTGGCTTGAAGGACTCCCAAATTCTTGACTGCTCTGTAGCTCCTACACTGGATCTAATTTGTCAGATTCCGGGGCTCCCTCTGAAATACTCAACCCTGGCTCTTCTCAGAACCCTCTGAGAAGGCATTATTGTGATATCCCTTTGGTGGTCTCCCTGAGCCATCCTTGTCTGTTACCCCACTGTTTTTTGTTTTTTCAAAAATTTTTATTCTTTTTAAACTTTTTTTAAATTAAATTAAAAATTTAAAATTTTATGTGTATGCGTATTGCATGTAGGTAAGTGCACCTGTGTCGTGCAATGCCCGCGGAGGACATACGAGGCTGTCGGATCCCCTGGGACTGGAGTTACAGTTGTTAGCTGCCATGAGGGTAAGTGCACCCAGGTACCCATGTCGTGCAATGCCTGTGGAGGTCAGAAGAGGGGCTGTCGGACCCTGGGACTGGAGTTACAGTTGTTAGCTGCCATGAGGGTGCTGGGATTCAAACCTGGGTCTTCTGCAAGAATAACCAGTGTTCTTAACCGCTGAGCCATCTCTCCAGCCCCCTGTTACCCAACTGTTAACATGAAGCCAGTATCCCCCTTGGTTCCTGAGTCTGTTACAACCCTACATCTTGATCATTCCACTTGTCTCCCTGGCTTCCTGTAGGGCTGGCATGTGGCTCCAGGGCCTTCCTTCTCAGCAGTCCTCCCCAGACATTAACATGGAGGACTTCCTCACTGCTGGCCATCCCTGCCCTCCTGTGCCCTGCCTCATCCCTGCTCATTCTTCCAATTGAACTTACACTGGCATCTTCCTCATCAACTTTCTTTACCATCAGTTTCCCTGTTAGAACTAAAATCACAAAGAAATCAGGTTTCTTCTGTGCCGTTCCCTCACTGCCTTGATCATTTCCTGCCCAGCAGTGAGTAGCTGCCACAGAAGGCTTCGGAGTAAACACACATGCAAGGTTAACTGGATCCTGGGGTAGGAATGAACAACTCCAAACACCCCCATGGCTCGGTGCAGTTCACAGGCTCTTCCTACACCTCAACAATTGCAGTAAGGAAATCCAGTTTTAGATAGAAGTACCCTTCATTTTGCCCATCTCCTAGCAGCGAATGCAACATGGGAAGCAGGAAGGGAGGGGGCAGAAAGACAGCCCTGGTGCAGGGCTGAGGCAGCTCTCAGTTGCTTGATGGTGCCCTGTGCTTGTGGAGTTTCTGTGAAGGTGTAACATTAGAGGACACCCTAGCCAAGCAGCCAATTGATGCATGATTCTTTAAAAAAATTAGTTATACTTATTTATTTTGGTCTTTTTGAGACAGGCTTTCCCTGTAGCTCCAACTGGGCTGAAACTTGCTGTGTAGACCAGGCTAGCCTCCATCTTATTGAGATCCTCCTGCCTCTCCTCCTGAGTGCTGGGATTAAAAGTTGTGCCCCCACACCTGGCATTATTTTCATTTTTATGTTGTATGAGTGTTTTGTCTGCGAGTGCATCTGTGCACGCAATGCCTCCAGAGGCCAAAAGAGGGCATCGGATTCCCTGAAACTGGAGTTATGGATGGTTGTTAGCTGCCATGTGGGTGCTGGGAAGTGATCCTGGGTCTTCTCCAAGAGCGGCCAGTGCTCTTAACTACTAAGCCATCTAATGAAGCTCATATAATCACTATCAAAGCCAAAAACAGCCTGCAAAAATGGCTTGCTCCTCTTATATTCAACTCCCTTCGTCTCCAGGACTGGAGCCTGGAGAATCAGAAGGGAGGCATAGACACCAGATGTGGCTTTCTTCAGGGCTCCACAGGGACTGGCCCATGCTGTGGCCAGCCTCTTGCCTGCCATCTGTACCTGTTACCAGTGGGGTACATAGCACCAGTGTTTGTGTTTGGCTTAGCCCTGGGTAGAGATGCCACCATCTCTGGACATGAGATGTGAGAGATTGTGGGGCATTTCTGGGGCCTCAGGAGGGAGCAGCTGGTCCCTAAACGTTCCCAAATAGCCTGAAACCCAGCATTGACTGCTCTGTGCTGGATATGGTGTGAATAACACTTGCGTTGGGTTTCTGTGATGGTTAGTGTTGTTAACTTGATAGAACTTAAGACTCTGAGAGATGGGCCTCTGGACATGCTGGCTAAGGAACTGACTTAATTACACTAATTGATGAAGGAAGGCCCATCTTAATTGTGGGCAAGACTATTCCCTGGGCAAGGGACCCCAGGCTCATTAAGCTGAGCACTATCATGCAGGAACCCATCCCTCTCTACGTCTCTGAAGAGACAATGTGACTAGCTACCTCAAGCTCCTGCTGCTGTGACTGCCCCACAATGGCTGTAACCCTGAACTCTGAGTGGAAATAAAGCCCCGTACATTAAGTTGCTTTGGTCAAAGGTATTTTATCACAGCAACAAGAAATGAAGACAGTATTGTTTTAGGTAATAGGCTTTTTTTTTTTTTTTCCGCCTCCTAAATACCTTTTCCCAAAGTCATCGTGACCAGAATCATACTGTACATTGAGGTGGCCATGGGGTTGGGTGGGGGAACTTGCTGCAGAGTCTAGTATGCCCCCTTGCTTGTCAGTGATCAGCCGTAGTCCAATGCCACTCGGACACCAAGGCCGTGCTCACAGGGGCTGTAAACATCACTCAACGGCGGCTGGCAATACCCCTCTACCCAGCTGGAGGCTGAGGCTGTCGGTGAATTGCTTGCTTGTGACCATCACTAGAGTTCTCTGGTTGCTTTATTTGGGACACGTTAGGGTCCTTGTTGGTATCTCATCAAATTCAGTTGCTGGGACTGGTGATGTTGAGGTATGCCTGGGGGCCAAGAGAGAAGCCCAAGAAGACTTAGGGACCCCACAAGTCCTGCTTTCTAAGTTGGCACTTAGAACAGGATGGCGAATGCCTTTGTATTGGTACCTTAGCTTCTCCACGAATGTTTCCTCTGGGGTAGCCTTTTGAGGCCCAATCCTCAGTGAGAGGGTACAGGGCTTTACCTGTTCGTTGGCTCTTTACAATGACAGATGTCCCCACATGTGGGTTGACCATCTGTCTGTAGCCCTGGGGAGGCTACTCCTTTGCCATGCTCACTAAAACTTGCAACACTCAGATGCCAAGCTGAGTTTCCTTCTGTTTCATGTCAACATGGGCCCTTACAACTGAGCCAGGGGGAGAAGAGGTCAGGCAGCCTTCTCAGTAGTTACTGCACAGAAAACAGACTTGCTGGCTTAGCTGTGGCTAAACAATGGCCAAGAGTGGCTGCATGGGGCATCCTAGCTCCAACTGCCTTGGCTGCTGCCCCCTCAGGTCCCTCCTACTGGCCTCTCACCAAACTGACCACAGCTGTTGATATCCCATGAAACTGCAACCAAATGTCTTTTAATTAGTGTAGTGGACTGTGTGCGTGCCCATGTCCCATGCCTTCCTCATTTGCTCTCCAAATCATTTGTTTGGTTTTGGTTTTTGAGACAGGGTCACCCTGTAGCCCCAACTGGCCTGGAACCTGCAGTGTAGTTCAGGCTGGCCTCAATCTCACAGAAATTTATTTGATTATGCCTCCTGAGTGCTAGGATTAAAGGCATGTGCCACCACACGGGCTCTTATTTTTTAGATACTTCTAATACATTTATTTATTTAGTGTGTGGAAGTTAGAGGACAATCATCAGGAGTCTGTTATTTCCTTCTACTTATGTGGGTCCAACTTATTTTTGAGACAGGATTTCTCATTGAACCTGGAGATCATTGATTTGGACAGACTGGCTGGCCAGTGAGCTCCATCAAGGGATCTGTTCGCCTCTGCCTTTCAATGCTGGGGTTGGACACCCACCACTCCTCTCAGCTTTTGTGTGGGTTCTGGGGATCTGAACTCAGGTCCTTGTGCTTATGCAGCAGGCACTTTACCAACTGGGCCATCTCCCCAACCACAACTGCCTTTTAAAGATGCTGCCTGGGTGCTCAGGCTTCCTAGGGCACCACTGGTTGGGAATCAGCCCCTGACTACCCTACCCATTGTGCCTGACCCTTGAGACCTGCCCTGAGTGGGCTGCAGGCTTGGGGACAGGATTAGAGCAAATCACCGGGTGGCCATGTTGCCGTTTAAAATATAACATTTATTGCTTAGATGGTTTGATACAGAACAGTTTTCTTTTCATTCTGAATTTGGAAGTTCTATACAACTGAGTACAAAGAGAAACAAAAAGTACCAAAACCAAACTTGTGATTCTCTGTTCATGTGGCATAAACCAGTTTTGTACATAACATGTAGCAGCAGTTTTTAAGTTCCCTTTAGAAAAATATGAATTCTACACATTTATTATTGTTTCCTGTTTAATGCATGGGCTGAAATCACTAGGATCAACTTCCTTCTTGAAGAAAGAGAGGAGAGGAAAGAGACAAAGGTAGGATGAATCTGTCAAACTGGCATCCTACTCCCGGTGTTCCCCCGCGGGGGTTGTTTCGTTTTTGTTTCACAGCCAGGTGTTTCAATGTAGTGATTGAATCTCAGCATTGTGTCCGTTAATTAAAGAGAAAAAAATAAAAGAGAAAAAACTTGCACCTCAAAAATTTTTTTCAGAAGATCCATATATATATATGTATATATATATATGTATATATAATATATATATTTGTAAAAGCCCTGAGAGAAGGAGAAAGAGAATCAAACAAAATGTATAGAAACAAATTAGCTGGACATGCAAACTAAACTATGATTCACCCAGCGTTTAAACAAATCACAAATTTCACAGTTTAATATTGGGGGAGGCGGGCAGAACAACAAACAAATAATACATTTCTCAATCTCACTAATAAAATGTGGCAAGACCTTATTGACTACAAAGGTATAGATCAGGCTAAATAAAGCTTTAAATCAATAGTGATTATTGCGAGCTGCAGCCCCGGCTACAGACGCTGCTGGGAGCTGATCCTTGCTACATCTCACCGCAGCATAGAGTTCAGTCATGGCTTCTCCCCACAATATCATGAGTTTAGTGTGGAGAGTTGCAAAGAAAAACAAAACACGAGAAACCCCAAATAATAACAATGAAAATAACAATAACAATTGTAATAATAATAAAAAATAAGGGATGCAGGAACTGGTTTTAACTTAGAAGACCATGGGATCATTGGTTCTGATTTGTATCTCTATAGTAAATAAAATCTCATTTTTAAACTGGTTTATAATTCCCTAACACAGTTAAAAAAATCATATACCTCAATCTTCTTTCATATGCAAAGATATCACTTTTCATTATCTATAGACTATCTATCTTCCTTTGAAGTCAGGGTGGTTGGATTTTAGCCACTAGAAATTGGTGGAGAAAAGGGTATGCTTATCTCTGGGGACACAAGTCTAAGCAGAGGAGGATCGCATGAAGCCAGAAGCAAGGAGAAAGAATACGGCAAAGGAGCACCTCCCCCGGGGAAGGTGAGGCTGTGCAGGGGTGTGGCGGCAGGCACAGGTCTAGTAGCAGTGTGGCTTGGGCATCCTCAGGGTCTCAGCTAAAGGGAAGGGTGCTGAACACTGGTCAGCTACAGTAGGATCTGTTTCTTTTCACTGATGCCAGCTACAATGAGGGACATCTATTGCTTGTATAGAACGCTCAGGAATGAAAGGAATCCTGCTTTAGTGCACCAGGGGCTCAGGCCAGTTAAGGAACCAGCAACAGCACTTCTACCTTTAGGTACCCACCCCACATCGCAGGAAGGTAAATATAAACCTCTCATCGAAACCTCGCACATGTAGTTTTATTACCAGTAGTAGTATTTCCTTGCTTTTCAAATGACAGTAGCACAGCTGGGGGGTAAGGCTTGGATGGGCTCAGCAGGAAGACTGGATACCTTGCTCATGAGTAATGCATCCGTCATTGCCTTGCTTCCTCAAAAGCCATGTCTGTGGTGCCCCAGGCTCGGCCTGGTGTCTCGGATGCCTGCTCCCCGCCACATGTGCATCCTTGCTCTCCCCTCTGAGCCGCTCCTTGGCCATTTTTGGAGGACCATTATTGGCCCCTGCTGGATTCTACAGTCACAGAAGAAAGGCTTGTCTGAGTACAGTAGAAGAGCTGTCACCACAATGCGCCAACAAAGCTTCAGGCACATGTTATGTGGGGACCAGGGGCTAGTGCAGGTCTCCCAGGACAAATATTGCCCATTTGTTTCTGCAGAATGCAGAGGCCAGCAAATTGATGAACTAAAAATAACAATAAAATAATAATAATATTAATAACAACATATACCGAATGAGGAGAAGAGAAAATCAAATATACGACATCCAGGCATGTCATCCATAGGTTAAGTTGCTGGGGAGGTAACTCTTCTCTGTAAATTAAGAACTAATGTCTTGAAACTTGAATAGAAACTTTCCCATTTCTAACATGAAGAGTGGAAACAAGGTTGAAGCTAAAAATCTTTCCTGGTTTTTGGCTTGAACCATATTGGAAACCTTCATCAACCATATCCACTAATACCAAGGACCAGATCACAGCTCCTCCACGAGGCGAACAAGAGGGAAAAGAGGTCTATTTTAGAAATCAGCCTCCTATCCATCTTCCCTCTGGTCATGAAGTTCACATCGTTTTCTTCCAGTTATTGGCTACAGGTATCCAAGGGTATGTTTTTTCTTCTGTTTCCAGCTTACAGAACAAACAGTACTATCACAGATTCACAAAAAAAAGCTCAAACACACCAGTACAAAAGGTAATGTTAATGCTTAAATGACAAGGTCCTCCCCCAATTCATTAAAATATTTGTTTTGTTAAAATGTCATTTTGGGAAACACAACACCCACAATGACAAGGGAGGATCCATAAGTAGTTAAGGCACTGGAATTGGCCGTGCTGTGGCTGGATGCACGGGCACTGGGTAAGGCTATGGCACGATTTGGTTGGCTGCATGCCTAGTCATCTCTCTCACTCTCTGACAGCTAAAGGACACTGAGAAAACCTCATGAAGTCTAGATTCGTGATGCTCTGCTCAGCTGGTTTTGTGCTGGTGGGGAGAGGGCAGGCTGTCATTCCATCCCCAGGAGCTGTGAGGCGCTGTCGGTGGCAGCCAGGATGGGGTGGGCAGGCCTCTTGCCACATAGCTCCAGCAAGTCTTGCACAAGGGCTGCTGGGCTTTCAGGGTCGGTTTCACCTGGAGATACCTGGCCCTTGGGGGTGCTGTGGCTGGGCTCAGCTGCCCGCCCTGCTGCAGCCTTTTCCTTCCCAGCATTGGCCAAGCTCTCTTTCCGGCTTCGGGTGATGGCCACATGGTTGCTGGTGCTAGGAGCTGACTCAGCCTCATTCTCTGAGACAGGGTTGTTACCACTATGGGTGGACTCATCCTCACTGTCCTCCTCGGCCTGGTCCTCCTTGTCGCTGTCCTTCTCCTGGTGCTTGCTGTGCCTGGCTTTCTGGTGGATCCTCTGGTGTCGAACTAAGCTGTGTTTTAAGGTGAAGGTTCGCTCACAGGTCTGACACTTGTATGGCCTTTCCCCTGAGCAATGGGAGAAAATAATGATCAGTCCGTTAACAGGCAGGCCATCAGTTCCCACCTCCCCTGCTCAACAAAAAAGCAGCAGCCAGAAATGAGTGCATAAGAACAGGACCCCTGCTGTTCAGGAGAGCCCTCTCATCTGTCTGAACTGGCAAGTGCCAGGGGTCACATTTATCTTTCCTGTTTCTCTTGACCCAGGTCTTTTACAAACTGATTTTTTTTTTGTCTTTTTGAGACAGGGTCTCCCTATAGCCCCAGCTAGCCTTGAACTCACAGAGATTCACCTGCCTCTGCCTCCCAAGAGCTGGGATTACAGGCATGCGTCACCAGACCCGGTGTGAAAACTGATCTTAAAAAGCAGAATACTAGAAGCAGAGGCCTGTGGGAGGGACTCTATGTTCCTCTCTCAGGCTCTGCAAAGAGAGCAATAGCCTCCTAAATTGGGGCACAAGGAGCTACAGTAGGGCTTTTCCTAACTGCTTATGCTCCAAGGTACCAGCATCTCTGTCCAGAGCCTGGCACCGACACTCCATACCTGAGCACAGGGCCCGGCTGGCTGTGCCAAGGCTGCTGTATAGGGAGGCAGGGGTACAGCTGTGGGATCTAGACAAGGGGTTTGGAGTACTTTCTTTGCAGGGAAAGAGGAAGAAGAATGTTTCATCTTTTGGATTTGTGGTTACATGCAGGGCTCCCTTTTGCTGCCAAAATAGCGATCCTGCTTTGGAGTTTGCAGCTCCAGGTCCACAAGTGGCAAGCTGAGTGCTGGGTGGAATATGCATGTGCCCATGTGACGGCCAGGAGGATCATGTCACAGTCCCATCAGGTTGGCTGATTGAGGGCCAAGAAAGGAGCAGTCTCACCTGCCTGAGGCTAGTGAATGACATCAAGTCTTCCCAACACAGGCCAGGGTAGCACCTGCCTTCCCTGGCATTTTCCAGGGTCTGGCTCAGGACTAGACTAGACAGGACATGTCCATCACTGCTATTGTTCTAAAAATCTGTACAGATAAGGCAACCATCATCTCCATCTATAGTGGACAAGTTTGAGGCCCAGGGGCTGGGAACAAATTATAATGTTCTCCAACGCACCCCTGCAGAGGGGCCACCCTCTTGACTTGTAGAAGGCCAGGACCATTCCCAAGGCTAAGAAGACAACTCCTTAAAACCGCCCCCCACAACCAGTTTCCCAGGCTCAAAGGACACACCTGCAACCTAGCCAATTCTCAGTGGCCCCTGGCACTGACTTCCAGCGAGACTCCTGATGACCGTGGTGGGCCATCCTTGCCTCCTTTGGTGGACTGGGTCTGGTCTTCCCTACCTGTGTGTGACCTCATGTGCCGGGTGAGGTCCTGCAGGGACCAGAAGCGCTTGTTGCACACACTGCAGACCTTCTTCCTCTTATCTGCTTTGCTGGCAGTGCTTTTGGGGGAGTCTGTCTTTGGTTTCTTGTCATCGTCACTCCTCTCTGAGCACCTCTTCTCAGCTGTTCCTTCTCCATCAGAGGGACCCTCTGTCTCCTCATTCTGTTTCTCCTCTGAGGTCTCCGTGGTGCCTGGGGCTGGCTCTACTTCTGGGGATTCAGCAGGCTTCTCCCCAGGCTCGGGTGTAGGTGGGGTCCCCTCAGCTGTTCTGCCAGCACTCTTGCTCTCTAGCAAAGGTGCCTCTTTCTCATCCTTGGGCTCCTGGCAGCCATGTGCCTTCCTGTGGCGGCTCAGGGTACCCAGGAACTTGAAGCTTTTCCCACAAGTGTTGCAGGTGTGTTTCTGGTCCTGCTGGGCTGTGCCTTGGCTCACAGTGCCTGCCTCACCCTCTGCCAGCTTGAAGTCCATCAGCTTGCTGGCAAAGTTGAGATCCAGGCTCTGGTTGCTGGCTGTGTCTTCCTCCGGGCCGTCTGCATCCCCACTGCTTTCTTCCACACCGCACTCTTCCTCTGGCTCTGGGTTCTCTTCTGTGCTCCTTTCTTCCTCCTTCCCAGGGGAGGTTGCCTCTGTTTTGGCCTCGTTTACAGTGGGGTCCTGTGTAGTCGGGCTGAGCTCCACGGCTCCCTCTGATGGCAGCTGCTCTTTATCACGTGCTGTGAGATCCAATACCTCACCTGCAGTGGTAGATGTCTCCGTGTCTGACTGACTGTCTGAGGGAGCAAGCAGAGCAAGGAAGCAGTTCAGATGGGACAACACAAACATGCCCTTTCCAAGGGCTCTGCTGGGATTTAGCTGGACCCACCCTGGCAGCCTAGACTCTAAACTTAGTAAAGACTTCTCAAACTTGCAATTGTAAGGGCAAGACCAGCCTTCACATCCCCGCAGGTTGGTGGATGGGCTTCTGGGTCTGGCTGTGCCTTAGAACACCTGGCCCCCACTGTCATACCCATGTACACTCTGCTGCCCCCACCCCCAGAAGGTATGAGTGACTCAGGCAGTTGAGACAGAGAGGGGTGCATTCCAGAGACTCACAGCACTAGGGAGGTCGAGGAAGCCAAGTTGTAAAGGTTATTTTTCCAGTGCAAAGAGCTTATACAAACATGCAATGCACAAAGGACCCCTCTCCCCAAATCCTCTAAAATGTGGTTTCTAATTATTTTCACAGAAAATGATCCCAGGTGCGGATTCTATGTATATGGTACAAGCACATCTCCAGGTAGAGGCTAGAGGTCAAAGGAGACACACATGCACCTGGAAGCAATGTATAGGTGGTAGAAACCTTTCAAAGGGGAGAGCATTCATGCAAACCTGGTCAAGAGCTCATGGGGGAAAGCAGGTGGCCCTGAAGGGTTATGGGAGTGTGGGCAAGTGTTAGGACAGGGAAATCTAGAGTGCAAGTCTTTTGCAGACACTTAACTTCCTGTCTCCTGACTTGTTCCCGCCTGTGTACTCCCCACAGCAAAACTAGATATGGGGAATTCACTAGCTTTCGATGACCATAAGAGAGGGCACTCCGACCAACACTAATGATACCAAAGCCAAGCATGCTGGTGCACACTTGTGATCTCAGTCCTTCAGAGCCTAAAGCAGGCAGATGTAAGTCTGATGCCAGGCTGGGTTCAACAGAGAGTTCAAGGCCAGCCTGGGCTATGAGATAAGATCTCAAAAAACAAACACCGAGGCTTCAGAAATGAACAAATGATCATGGTATGAAGATAATTTTTGACAAGAAAAGGGAATCCTGAGAGATGTATACTAATGTCTATGTCATAGGAAAACATATGCTCATCTTATACAATTATATTAACAGAGAGCACTCTAAGGAATGGATTTTGGTTTAAACTCTACAAAAAGCACAGAATGCTAGACCGTTTGCATTATGGGTAATTTTTTTATGTGTTTATGTGTGTGCATGTGTATATGTATGTACACGACTTTGGAATGAAACCAGAGGCTGATGTCTTTTTTTTTTTTTTTTAGACAGGGTCTCCCTGTAGCCCCAGCTGGCCTGAAACTCGCTATGTGGATCAGGCTGGTCTTGAACTCAGAGATCCACCTACCTCTGCCTCCCAAGTGGGGAGCCCAATTTAAAAGATGAAGCTTTGGTTAATTTTTTTTTTTAGGATATTTTTGTTTTTTTTTTTTTTTTTTTGAGACAGGGTCTCCCTGTAGCCCCAGCTGGCCTGAAACTCGCTATGTGGATCAGGCTGGTCTTGAACTCAGAGATCCACCTACCTCTGCCTCCCAAGTGGGGAGCCCAATTTAAAAGATGAATCTCTGGTTAATTCTTTGTTTTAGGATATCTTAGGTTGTTTCTATTATTCTTTTTTATTTTTATTTTTTAGCAAAAAAGTGGAATTTTTTTTTTTTTTATAAACAGTCTTGTTATGTAGCCCAGGCTGGTCTCCCGCTTACGATCCTCCCATCTCAGTCTCTGAGTCTAGAACTTTCCCTTTCTTGTCCTCAGCTAATACCCTAGAACCTAGCACATGGTTTGAATTGTAGAGAATATATTCAAAATGATAAACCTATAAAAAATAGAATGAATTTTGAAACCAAACCCAAGGACATGCACTAAGATCCAACTGTCCAATTCTTGAACCCTGTCTTAAGAGTACATAAGGGAAGTTCTCCCCATGGAAAATGAGAAAGGCCCACTCCTTTGAACAAAGGGACTTGGTTGCACTCCACCAAACTTCCACTAGGGGGAGTCTTTTGTCCTTCAAGTTCCAAGCAAGTCTGATATTGGTGATTCTTGGGAACAATAGACTTAACCTTGTCACACAAGGTGAGTAGTCAGTGTGAAAGCCAAGTCCTACTCTGTCCTTCTTCTCAATACCCACATCCCCAAATGTAGGTAGCTAAGCTAATTGCTTTTTATAAGCAATACTACCTTAAAAGCATGTGCTGCTTCTCTGTCCCCATCAGTCCCTGTGAGTGTCATTAACACCTAGGAAAATTGCTGGAGGAAGCAGAGATCCCCCCCCCCGGCAGATAGTGAATGCACAGCTCCTCCTGCAGGGCAACAGAGTTTCTGCCAGTCAGCTCCATAGATCTCTTGTTCCCTAAAAATAAAATCACTCAGCTGATGTTCTGCATAACCAGATGGGTGGGGGTGTCTCTGCCTGCACTTCACCTGATCTGTTCAAGTGCAGGGAACACTTCTGGGGACCAGTCTACATGGACACACAGAACTTCTGACTTGGTAAAGGTGCCTTCCATTAAGGAAAAGTTGTAAAACATTCATCTTCATACAATTTAGAGTCCTGTCCAGGTGCCTACCAACACGATGGCTCCTCCACGCATCATCGGAGTAACAGTCAAGGGCTTCCCTTAAGGGCAGAGTGCAATGTTTCTATTTAAAATTGAATATTTAATGTAGCCTTTTAAGAGAAAACTGTCCCCCACCAGAGTATTTTTATCATTGTATTGGGGAGAAACTGAGGGTACATTTTTATGAAAGATCTTATGTGGTTGAAAAAAGCCACAATGACATGATAAAACATTTTATTTTAAAAGAATGCAATCTATGCATGTAAACTAGAAAATCTCAGGAATGTCCTTGTCATTTCCTGTCTTTAAAAAGTTGGTCTGTTCTGGGACTGAGGACGTAGGTCAATTGGTAGAGTGCTTGTCTATCATGCAGTCCTGGATTTGATACCAAGCACTGTATAAAATGAGCATAGTGGTGCACGCCTCTAAGCCCAGCACTCCAAAGGTAGACTCAGGATCAGAAGTTCAAGATCATTCTCCATTGTATAGGCATAGTGAGTTTGAGGACAGCCTGAGCTATATGAGATCCTATTTTTTGAAAAAAGAAAGTCTGTTCCTCCCTCAGAGGAACTTCCTGGGAGGGAGTCCCATGAAACCACCACTGTAGCCTGCTACCATGCCTATCTGGTTTGTAAAATTTTTTTTTGAAATTCTTAAACCTCCCTCTTCTGCTTTCTCTCTCCCTTCTAAATGAGTCCTCTATCTCACCATGGACTGTGTCCATAATTAAAACAAACACATCTCTTTGATGTTTTCACATTACAACTTTCAGTGATTTTTTCCTAGAGGCTCTGTCCCTTTAAGAAAATCTATACAGCTTCCAGGGCAGGGCCTTGGAAAAACAAAACCTCTAACTGTAAACTTAAAAAATAAATATACCCACAGGCTAACACTTGGTGCCAAAGCTAAGCTTGGACTATAAATTCTGCTTCAGCTCTGCCATCAGCAGAGTTCCAGTATATGATCATCCTGTATGAACAGGATGCAGAGGCAGAATGAGCAACTATTATTTTAAGACTTGTCTGAGGACATGGGTACCCACCCAACAACCTCTATTGTCAGCTGCCCTCCTTCCTTTAGAATTGGTATGGAAAGAATCACATGGCCATTTTGTAAACCAGGCTGTAAGAAAATGTTCCAGTCCAACAGGTATTGTGGCAGTGATAGTTAAACATTAACCGGACAGTCTGCAGCAAAGACAGCTGCCAGCAGTGCATTGGGTTTCCTGAGCCTGAGAAGCAGATCAACCTTGGCTCACAGGAACCCAAGCCATGGCAGGATTTCATGGGCATCTACACCTTTCTTTAGTCAAAGATCCTGGAGAATTATGCTGAAATGAAAGTCATCAGAAGGAGTCAGCAAACCAGCTGACCCTTTCTGACCCTTAGAGGTTTCACTAGCGCTAGGTGGGAAGTTTAGGGAAGGATAGAAGTGGCTTCCCTACTGGGGTCAAATTTCCCAGAAATCCTGCCCACTCTAATGTGCCATTACAGAGGTAAGGACAAGGAGATTAGGGGTCAGGATTAGTACCTGTCAAGTCCACACTAACTAGCAGGTTAGGGGGTGCCTCCCACACTATATAATACTTTATCCTACCTAAGTCTGAGGAAGAGAAGTCACAGGACACAACTACAACCCTAGATAAACATGGGGAATCTTGGTTTACTTCAAGCAATGGGCAAATGCCCAGCTTTCAAGACCCACAGGACTGAATCCAGTACTTGTAGAGCCCTTACTCTTACCTGGGGGCTCATTTAAGTGATGTGCAGAGGCTTATTTTTCATATGGTTTGTTTTGGGGAACAGGGGGTGACACACTCCAGCAGTTGGAGATGATGGAGTACATGAGTAAACACAAAGCTGAAGGGAGAAGGTGGCGTAAGAGGAATGGGGCAGTGTTAATTACTCTGTAGGGGTTGGAGGGAGGAAGCACACATCAGCACAAGAGAATAATACCCGGATTCAGGTCAAGCAGAGTTGTGATTAAAGAGAGGACATGCAGAGTGCTTTTTCAAACAGGGATATAGGTTTATACTGGGAAGAGAGTTATTGTAAAGAAAAACAGCCTGCCTTGCCCCACCTTGACTCTCCAACTAAAAGCTTAGTGGCCACAATTCCTGCAATACTGAGCCCTAATGGGCAAGCCCTGCTCAAGAAGCTGCAGATGCAGGGGGTGGGTGTTCCCCCAAACTTCAAGGTTTCATATTCCTTTCAGGTGCTCACATCAAGAGCTGACCTGTACACCTCCGGCACACCCCACCTCCCAGTACCAGGAACAACAGCATCTTCTGCTAGGAAGGTGACAGACTTTCCCCAGAAGCTCCACAAAGTCCCCTAGGCCCTGCCACTATTTCCCCAGCTCCACAGGCCTCGGTGTAAATCAATCCTGCTGTATGGTTACAGCAGGAGGCAGAGTCAGGCTTCCAATGCTCTGTAGGCCCCTGTTCTAAGCTACAGTATACACAGGGTGGAGTAGCTCTGGCTCTGGAGCTCATGTGGCTTTTAACTGAGCTCTGGGGGAGCGCCCTCTTCTCTCTCTGGTTCTCCATCACCTGGAGGCACTACCTGTGCTATCATGGGATCCAACATCACCCTCTTTTGGGGGGATAAGCCCGTTTCTTCTCAGGGAGCAGGTGGTAACTCCATGTTTGCGCAACTGGTGGCGTTCACAGTTAGATTTGGTAGAAAAGAAGGCATCGCATTTTTGACAAGGGAAGGGTTTCTGACCTGAAGCAGGAAAAAAAAATATGTATTTATCTGGCTTTCTACTGCAATGAAAAAGAAAAGTCGCTTTTGATTTATTCTCCTGGGATTGCTGGCAATTGTTCACCCCTCCACCCTTTTAAGAAAATAAAACATATTTTTCAAAAACCTGAGAAATGACAGTAACTAAAATAATTATTTTCCCTTAACTTTCATGGAATGGAAAGAGTTTTTATCTTCAAAATACTAAAAGACAGTTAACAATGAGACCAAGATATATATATTGAAAGCAAAACAACAGTATTACAATAAAAATGTTAACAACAACAAGATTTTGTAAGGCACAACAAACAACACCTGTATTCAACCACAGAGAAAAAACACTAACCTCCTATCTGGTGAGTAATGTATCTTTAGGGCTCATATAGAGAAGTCAGAGGGTCTCATCCAGTGGCAGACCCCTCCCCCACCCCCTCCAATAGGTAGCTGTGGCTCCTCACAAGGGGACATTCTGCAGTGACCTCTGTGCAGGTTACTGCAGTCCCTACTGGCAAGACAAGAGGGACTCAACACACTGGTTCTGGGATTTTCTTATCCTTGCTTTGTACTCAGCTAGGTAGTAAATAAATGACCAAAATGCAGCAAAGTCCGAATCAGGTTATATATGTTCTGCTCCACAGATGCACAGAGAATACTAGGCCAGCCTGCCTGGCCTGAATCCCATACCAGCTCTAAAATGGAGTGATGTGCTAGGAGAAGGGCCTTCCTTCCTTCCCCAGGGGAGGCTTCGGCCTCTTCATTTATTTTGATTCCTTTTGCACTGTAAACACCATGTTTCAAAATGCATTGGAAACCCTGCGGCTTATCCTGGGTTTGAGAGGGCTGATGGCAAGGGAAAGGGCAAGGACCAAGGGGGTAGAGTATGGATGAGAACGTAGGACAGGAGAGCAAAAGGAAGAGGAAGAGGAAGGGGGAGGAGAGAGCAGAGAGGAAAAGAGAAAAGAGGGAGGAGGAGAGAGGAAGAAAGGAGAGGGGAGGAACAGAAAAAGGGGAGAAGACGACAAAGAAAGAGGGAAAGAAAGAGGGACGGGAAGAGGGAGGAGCAAAGGGCAGGGGGGAGAAGAGGCAAGAGACAGGGAAAGAAAGAAGTGGGAAGGGGAAGAGGGAAAGGGCAGCCCCCAGTTTCAGGAGGGAGACAACAATGGCAGGTTGTTTGCTGAATCACTATTTTCTTCCTTTTTCCCTAGTTGTCAGATTCTAGGTTCCAGTTTCTGGCTTCACAAGGGAAAAGGTATCATAGACTAACAAACTTCAGAGCTGCTGCCATAGTAGTGCTGCCTTGAAACCTTGACCCTGTACACTACAGTCAAGAACTGGCGAGAAGAGTCACCTGACATTGTTCTCTGAAAATGTTAAGTTGGGGCTTTTGCTTCAGATCAATATTGGCTTGAGCCTGGGCTAGTGCAGTGCCCCAGGCCAGGCACTGCTGGAGGCCCCCACAGGGCTTACTGCTGGGGTGAGCTATAAGGGTCTCTGGCTTTCCAGGGGGAAGGCAGGCCCAGCACTGCTGATGCAACAATGTAGTCGGATTTGTGTATCAGGAATAATCAATGACAAGGAACATTTATTCCCTCTTGGGCTCAAAGAACCTTTAAGATGATGCTTTCAAATGACCTTTTGGAATTTTTTGACAATATAGATGGGCTGGGGATGCAGTCCATCAAGGGTATAGCTCTTGTACTAGCACTCAAGAGGCCCTGGTTTTGAACCAAAGTGTTAAAACAGGCAGCAGCAGGGCTGGAGAGATGGCTCAGCAGTTAAGAGCACTGACTACTCTTGCAGAAGACACGAGTTCAAGTCTCAGTAACCACATGGCAGTTGTGAATCGTCCTTAACTCCAGTTCCAGGGGAATAAGCCTTCTTCTGACCTCCACAGCATTGCACGACATGGGTACACTCACATACATGCAGGCAATACACTCATGCACATAAAATAAAAATAATAAATATTTTTTAAAAAAGGCAGCAGCAACAACCTCTTCCCATAAAACCAGTCAACCACCCCCCCTCACCTCCCCAGCAATTTATATTTCACATGGAGAGAAAGATAAATGGAGCTGGATGTGGTGGTACAGGCCTTCAATCCCAGCACTTGGGAGGTAGAGGCAGGCAGATCTCACAGTGGTCAACCTGGGCTACATATCGAATTCCAGGCCAGTTATGACTACAGGGAGATCCTGTCTCAAAAACAAACCCCATGCATTTGTGTGACTAGTTGTAAAGTATTTCAGTGTGTGCTGTGCATCTTACAGGTGACTTTTTTCGCTTTTCATTAATAACTGCACACAATATTTCTTATTTTTCTTTTATATTTTGTCACAAAGCAAGATGGCAGTTTCACAAAGTTTGGCCAGATGGAGAGAAAGAAAACCAGGTGACAGGAGAACAAGGACTTAGGCTGCTGCTAGTGGTAGAGCATGTGCTTCTTTGTGCAGCATGTTGAGGTACTGGGGTTCTATTCCCAGCACCCAAAAGAAAGGGGGTAAAAAGAACGGAGAAAAGACCAGAAGCTACTATGCTTAGATTCTTTAAATTTTTAAAAAACTGTGTGCATGTGAATGCAGGCTCAGGAGGCCAGAAGAGAGTGTCAGATCTCTTGGAGCTGGAGTTAAACACTTAAACACGTGGGATGTCTAGCTTGTTATGTGGTTGCTGGGATCTGAATTCTGCTCTTAACTACTGGGCCATCTCTCTAGCCCTATGCCGGGATTCTTGATTTCAAAGAAAATGGCAGGCTTCCCACTTTTTTTTTTTTTTTTTTTTTTTTTTTTAGACAGACCCGCCCCATGCCGGGAATCTTGATTTCAAAAAAAATGGCAGGCTTCCCCCTTTTTTTTTTTTTTTTTGTCTTTTTGAGACAGGGTCTCCCTGTAGCCCCAGCTGGCTATGTAGACCAGGCTGGCCTTGAACTCACAGAGATCTGCCTGCCTTTGCCTCTCTCTCGAGTGCTGGGACCAAAGACGTGCACCACCATGCCCGGCTGGCTTCCCACTTCTATTACATGATTTACTCTTTAATTTTCTCATGCTTTGCCTTTATAGGTGGTTTGGACAGCCAGGCTGAGTCTCCATGATGAAGAGTCATATTAATCCTGAATCAAGGTATCCAAGCATTTTATCATAGGAAAGTTCTCTAAGTGATCCAAGTCATTTAAGGCTCACATGTTCACAGCAAAACTTTTTTTTTATTCAAAGAGCTGTGTGCCTTTTGCCTTGTAGGGATATACAAACTTGAGACTTTGTAGCATTTTATAATATGTTTCAAATCACTTGTGGACTTTATCTACACTACATCATTTAATGACCATTGGTAACTTTCATATTATTTCTTTAGATAGGGACGGTGGGTGGGCTGGTTTGTAAGAATGCTTGTAACAAGGAATTACCTTTGTACCCAGGGCCTATATGTCCCTCCATCCCAGTGTGAACATTAACGCCACCAGCCAGGCAGTATTCACTCATGAAGAGCAGTCAGAAATGAACAGACATTTTAGGTAAAATGGTATTACCTGAAAGGCACTAGGATGAACGCAAGGGCAGAATGAACACTGAGAACAAGCTTGCTGAGTGTAACAGGACCTTCTTGTCAAAACCTAAGAATATGGAGTTAGAAATGTGCCTGTTCATTTTCTGAAGAAAATCAGGGTTAGAATTAGCCTGTACCTCAGATGGAAACCTTTGCAGTTGCTTTTCTTTGTATAACAACACAGCACTAACACTTCTCCACCCTCAGGGCTTGGCATGTTTCTTCTCGTTTTTTTTTTTCCCCCCTCTCTCTTGGTATTTGGCAGGGGTATATGCAGGGCTGGGTTAAAAGTGGCCCAAACTGCCACTTAAGAAAGTAAAAAGGGGGGCTGCAGAGATGGCTCAGTGGATTAGAGCACTTGCTGCTCTTGCAGAAAACTCAGTTTGGTTCCCAGCACCCACATCAGGTGGCTCACAACCACCTATAAGTTCAGCTCCAGAGATTTTGACACCCTGATCTGGTCTCTACAGGCGGCCACACACACATAGGCAGACATACAAACATACATACAAATAAAAATAAATCTTAACAAAAAAGAAAGAAGCAGTCAAATATAACCAGTGTCCAAATCACTTTCTATTCAGGTGAGGACATTTTCCTAATTTAAGCTCCAATGCTAGTTGCCCCACAGATGTGGGTAGGAGGTGAGAGGGAAGAGTCTAGAGCTGGCAAAGGCACTCAAAGCACCCATGAGAAAGTGAACGAGCTAGGAAATCCCAGAATGTTGGAGCTGGAGGGGATTCTCAGATATTGCACCATCCTGACCAGTCACTGTAGAACAAGGAACCGGAGCAAAGGGAAGGAGGAAGAGAGGAGGACAGACGCTGAAAGGGACTGGTTGTGTTTTCTGGCACTCTGTCCACCTATGGCCTAAAGACACAGGATGAAATGCTCAAGAGGGAAACGCACAAGAACAGTGCATCGTTGTCTCCTGAGGTACGACGTGTTCATGGAGAGAAAGGTGAGCTGTAGGCTTGGAGAAAATGAGAGGGACAGAAGCAAGTGTGTAGAAATCACATAAGAGGACATGAAAGATGACAGCTTCCTCTTCTGATACAGTTCCTGGAACCTAATCAGGGGAAAGGGCTTAAGTCACGTTTGTGCTGGCAGCCAGCAGGTGGACCCCTAGCTGGACATTTAGTATATGACTTCCTCCTTCTTGTTCCTCTGTGGGGAGTGGGTAAACTAAAGAAAGTGTTTAAGGAAAAGAAGAGATGCTAGGGTAACACAAGAGGATGGAAAGAGGCCATCTCTTGTGACATAGGAAATTTGACTGAAGTAGAGTTCACATTGTAGTCTCTTAATGCGGATCGTTGGAACTCAGCTAGATTTTATTGATTTAAATAAAATTTATTTTAAAATGTACATTTATTTATTTACTTATTTATTGTGTATGTATGTATATGTGTACCTGTGCCATGGTATACTATAAAGGCCAGAAGACAACTTGTCAGAGGCAGTTCTTTCCTTCCACCATGTGTGTCCTAGGGACTGAAACTCAGGTAGTCAGGCTTGCTGAGAAATGCCTTTACCTGTTAAGCTATTTAGATATTAATATTACACTTAAAAAAAAATCTCTACAAATATCTTCCCCGTATGCCACCTCCCTTTCCAGGGTTGTTGTAGAAGTGAAGTTTAACTTCCACATTCTTAATTGTATGCCTTAAGTTAATTCAAGTTTTTGAGGGAGCATCTCACAGAAGCCACATGACTCTGATGGACAGCCAGTTCTCTACTTAGAAAGTTCCAGGTCTGTGGGAAGGCAATTTCCTAGGCTCCTTATAGCTCTAGCCTTTAATTGGAAAATGTTCTCACACAGCAGCAGACATAGCTGACTGCACAAAACAACATGATTTAATCAAGGTGTTTTCAGACTATCCCTGGGAGCTGAACAGTGGAACATAGCAAAGAAAATGTAAAGGGAGCTCAGTGGGCACCAACCTTTATACAGTGTTCAACAGAATTATGTAGTCATTAAGACTAATTAATAGCATACCGACCCATAGCTGAGTTCCCCTCTTGTTCCTAATCTTATGTACCTGGACATGTGAGAACATGAAGAGCCCTAGAAAGGCTTCCATGACAGGATCTGTTGGCCACTCGCACCCTGACCAGGGAACACATGCAGTGAACTTGGCCCAGGAACAGAGTTCTGGCTGTACTTTTCACTACTAACATGACAACTGGTGAGCTACTTAGCTTCCCTGTGCCTCAGTTTCCTCAGAGCAACAATGATCTCATAGGACTGTCATGAAGGGTAGCCCTGAAAGGGTTTTATTTTTTTTTTAATTAAAAAACAAAACAAAACAACTAAGAACAATATGATTGGTATCAGAGACTGGGCCCAAGCAGACATATTTATTAAGGTTATCAGTAACTATGAGGAAGAAGTGGTAGATACATTTCACCTCTGCCCTTCTCCATCTTTAAGAAGTTTTACATATTCCCTGCTCAGATCCAGATGCTCCCCAACTAGGAAAGATGGCATTCTGGAGATCAAATACCCGGGAATCATGAGGACTGGACTCTCAAGTGGGAATGTGTCTCAGCGATCTGCAGACTCTAGTACAACTCGAAAAGAAATTCCGCCTGCTTCAACTTCTAGGGAGTCTGTCAGTTTGCTGGGAATAGACACATCTGGGGATACATGACCTATCCAAGGAAAATGTGCACAGTGTTTACCAGGAACAGAACTTTCATCTGGAGGAGGATGTGGGGAGCGTGGAAACAGCAACAGGGCAGGGGGAAATCACAAGATCCAGACCATCTGCCAAAGACACTGCTGTAAGGGGCACCCTTCTCTGAACGGCTGTCTTCTAAGAACTGTTAACTTGATTTTGTCAGGCTTAATTACTTCAAAGGAAAAAAAAAAGGCAGCCCCAAAAGGCAGCATGTACTGTATGAATCTAGAAATTCCAGTTCTATTGAGTCTTCCCTTCAACTGGCATTTTTAATTTCCTGGATTGGCGGCCCCATCACATTAGGACCAGAGACTGCAGTGTATGTGGCAATCTCTGGTGACTGGGGCAACCTCAGAGAACCCCCAAATCTCCAGCCATGACTCCGCAGCTTCCTTTTTCTTTCCCAGTTTCCTCTGCAGACTCTCTTGGTTTTCAGAGACATTTTAAGGGCTCTGTGCTGCTGCCCCACCTCATACAGCAGACACAGCCTTCCATGAGGTCTTAAAGCTTCCTGGTTATCAGCCCCATCTACAGTGTTTCTACCTGAGACAGTGTAGCTCACACCCAGATCCTACTAGCTTCTCCTCACAATACTGCTGCAGACCTAACTACCTTGGGTTAATATATTTTGCAAGGAAAACCACAACATACCCAGATAAACTTCAGATCAACAACAAATAATGTTTAAAAAATAACAGTGCTTTAGTCCATCCTGAGTACTATATGGGAAAAACACTAAAAATTACTTGTTGTTGGTCTGAAAATTCAAATTTCACTAGTAATCTGTATTTTATCCAGGAATCCTGTACTATACATATAGTAAAGTACCATTTGTGTTTTGGTCTTATCTATTAATATTTGGATTGTAAACGCCAAAAGGTCAAGGATTCACTCAATGCACTTAGCTCAATGATACAAACACTATGATAATATTCAGAAGGTTATAACTGAGAGTTGTGTGGTCATTTGAATATTAAAAGTACCTGGTATAAAGTAATAAAAAAATATATATTCTCTATTTTTAACTTCTAAAATTCAACTTCTACAAACTGACATTTGAAAAATGCTTTTGGAAAATCATCTAGTAATTTAAATGTTATTTAGAATATTAAAATTATAGCTGAAGTATTTTCCTGGACAGCAGACAATTTTAAGATAAATAGAACTTAAAAAAAAAATCTAAGCACAATTATCATCCATCACAGATATTCCAAATAGGAGAAAAGAAATTAAAACAAAGAAAACTGAACTAAGCAAGGGAAGATGCAGCTCCCTTAGTGAAAGGAAATGGACAAATCACATTTTGTACTATTTCCCTTTACAGACGTAAGGCAGGCAAAAGAACTCCACAGAAGATGCCAGGATGAAATTTCTCATGTCAAAGCACCAAGCTCATTAGGCCCCAATACCTCAATACAAAGTCCCACTTTTTTGGAATTATCCATACTTAACCTAGTAGAAAAGGTTGAAACCTCAGGCAAGGAATGTGGGGAGAGAAGCGAGGAAGCCTATGACCATGTCCATCTGAAAACACCCTGCATTTGGCACTTTTTTTTAACAAGCCACCCTGGGTGGCTCAGACCATGGGCACAGGTCATATGGTTACTAAGAACCTGTGGCTTCTGAGACTTAGAAGAATGAATGGAACATGGGAATAGCACCCAAAACTTTAGGCCTACCCTTACTCCCTTATCCCCCTCTTTCCTGGCAGCCACCCTGTCAGGAAGTAAGACTCACCGCCTGGTGAGCCCTGAGGGCCTTCTTACCAGTGTGTGTAAGCATATGCCTCTGGAGGGAGCTGGCCCAAGGGAAGACCCGGGGACAGTGGGGACAGTTGATCTTCTGCAGGCAGTTGGCATAGGAGTTCCGCTTTGCTCTCAGTAGCCTGTCTTCACTGGGGCTACCCTGCTCCTCATCACTGGGCCCATGGTGGTCTGCAGGGGCTCCGGCCACCTCATCCTGAGTGTCATCCTCTGCAGTCTGCAGGAATGGACTGAACTTGTTGGTATCTGTGGTGGCTAGCATCTTCTCAATGCTGGCAAACTCCCCACTGGAATCTAGGTCCACCCCACTGCTGTTGGCGAGGGGCCGGTTCCTCACCCCCCTTTTCCTACCCCTCTTCTTGGATGAGCAAGCTGGCCCCTGCTCAGCAGGCAAGGCTTCCTCTGGACTGCTGGCTGTGGGGGCTGGGTCACTGGATTCTTTAGGGCTTGTTTTATCAGTAGGGGAGGTGGCAGCTTTGGGGATGGAGCCTCCTAAGTTGTCTGCAGCCACAGTGTTACCGCTGGTGCTTGATGACCCTGGGTCAGCCACCTTGGTCTTCAACAGAGTAGGGGCTGAGGACACAGATGAGATGATCTGGGCAATGGAGGCCAGTGGAGGCAGCTCTTCTGTCATGGGGGGCTTTGGCAAGAGCAGGGGGGGCTTGGGCCGTAAGGGTCGAAGCAAGGCTGGGCTGCTCAAGAGGGCTGAGTTGCTTATGACTGCAGAGTTGCCCAAGAGGGGAGGGTTGCTGATGAGAGCTGAGGAATAGATGGGGACAGCCAGCTGAACAGAGCCCTGGAGGGGCTGAGTGTGGGGTTCCAGGTTGGCAGCTGTGGTGACAGCCACCACAGTGCTTGTGGGGTTTTCTAGGATCCCTCTGGACTCCAAAGTCACTGGCAAGGTAGGGCAGGGTGGTGGAGAGGGAGAGAGCTGCTCAGCATTCTCAGCTTCCTGTTCTGGCTTCTTGGCTTCACTCGGAGCAACTGTGTCCTTGTCTCCTTTCCTTACGTTCTTGGGGATAGACAGGTCGATAGGCTCCATGGAGCAGTCATACGGGGCCAAGGAAGGACTAAGGAAGGAAGGCACATTTTCCTGCTTCACTTGGACCAGTGCCAGGCCCTTCTGTGAAAAGTCAAGAGGCTCATTGAAGTCCACTGCAAAGCTACTGGCTGGCTCCAGCTTGACAGAGATATGGGAAGGCAGGGTCTGGGTAGGGCTTGTGTGGAGAAAGCCGTTTTGGGGCTCCAGAAAAGTGGCCAGGGGCTTGCACTCACCAAAAGCAACGCAGCTGCCCTCTCCCCCTCTCCCAGAGGCCTCAGTGGACATCTCTGTGGGGCCAAGGCCACCGTCTGCAGCAAGCACATAGCTCTCAATGTCATGCTCTGGCACATGCAGGTGCTGCTTGAGGATGTGATGGATGCAGTTGCGCTTGGCTGCAAAGGTGGCATTGCATTCCTTGCACTCGAAGGGTTTACGGCCTTTGTGGCAGCTGCCCAGGCCGCGGCTGCAGTGTGTGCGCATATGGATGCGCAGCGCACGGTAGTGCTTCAGATCCTCACCGCACAGCCGACACACTGTTTCTGGTGAGCAGAAGGCGTCCACCAGCTCTGCTGCGCTGCTGCTCACATACTCTATGTTCTTCTCAATGTCCTTGCGGGTGGCCTTGAGGTGCTTTTTGCGGAGGTGCCGCTCACAGTTGGCTTTGACAGTGAATGGGTAGTGGCAGATCTTGCAAATGTAGGGCCGCTCCCCACTATGTGTGCGCAGGTGACGGATAAGAGCGGCCTTGTCTGCAGCAATGTAGTCGCAGATGTTGCACTGGTAGGGCGAGATCCCCAGGTGGGAGCGAACATGAGCACGCAGAACTCCAGAGAAGGCGAACACCTGGTTACAAAAGCGGCAGGGGTAGAGCACCTTGCGCATGGCAGGGGTCTTCTTGCCACTGGGGCCTGTCATGATGGCCTTGAGGTCCCCCTCTGTGATCTCCTGCTTGATCTTGGCCTCCATGCTCAGGGGCAGTAGGGCCTCAATGATGCTGTCTTGCTCCAGTTGTGTCTTCATCTCAGGCTGGCCTGGCAGCTCCACTCCAGGCTGTTGCAGAAAGAGCTGTGTGACTGTGTTTGGCTGGGCCCCAGACTTGGACTGCAGCAGATGGGCAGTGGAAGCTGCCTCGACTGACCCCTTGAGGAGCTTCAGGGGCTGTGGAGGAAGGCTAGGGCTGATACAGCCCGGGGATGCCTGCTGTGCATTGATGAGAGGCGGGGGTGTAGAGGTGGCTACCACTGTCCGGGGTGTGACCAAGGGCTTTGGCTTCAAAGGGGGCATATGCTTGAAAATTGCCTGAAGAGGGGTGGCGGGAGCCTTAGAGAGTGGCGGAAGACTGATCTGTGGGGGAGCTGATGCTGCCATCTTTAGAATCTGCTGGATGTCTGCCAGTTCAATGGCTGACTCGCCTGAGATAGGCTTAACCACAATACTGCTGTCCGGCTGGATGATGAAGCCCTTTTGGAAGGGCTGCAGGGACAGATGCTTCATGCTCTCCTTGGTAGCTGGGAGGACTGTAAGAGAACCACCTAAAGAAGCAGCTTCGAAAGGAGACAGACTCAGCACATTGGTGCAGCCAGGGTCCTGAGGTAGCTGACACTTGAGTGTCTGGAGCTGTATTGCTTGGTTGTCGTCTGGCAGGGATTCCTCAGCAGGTGCAGGCCTGATGTCTTTGGTGTGCTGCAGACCTAGTAAGGCCAGGAAGACCTTCTGGTCCAGGGTATCATCAGCTAGGGTCTTGGCCTGCAGCTTTTCCTGTCCCTGATCAGCAGTGATGTGGGTCTGCTTGTGCAGGACAAGTGAAGATGGCATGGGGAATGCCTTGTCACAGGTGTCGCAGATGAAACGGTGCTGCTCGCTGATGCACCTTCGTAGGTTTGTTTCACACCAGGCCTAAGTGAAACCCAGCAGCAAAAGCAAGGGAACAACTGTGAGGATTTAACAACAACACTAAAGGGAGATGCCACCGGTACTTGTTGTATAATAGCAGCTTTTCTTATTAATATATAAGGAGCCAACCTTCCCCTGATTGTGAATCTGGGACTGAATTAAGAAAATGGTCAAACATCTAGCTGATGTGTCTAGCCTGTGGGTCACATGTAGCCAAGAATAATTATGCATGAAGTTCAATGCAAAATGGTAAACTTACTTAAAACATCATGAATTTTTTTTTTTCTTTTGTAACTCAAATGTGCAGTTCTCAAGTGAACTCTGTAGATGACAATGCCTTGTGGCACTGTCAAAAGGTTGGACACACCTAAAAGAATCATGTTTGATCAAGGGCATCCTCACCAGGGAGATACTAAGATAACATCACAATGAAGATAGAATTACGCCTTAAAAAGGGGGGTGGTGCTTATGCTGGGTGTGATGGCACATACCCATAATCATAGCATTCGGCAGGACTGAGGCAGGAAGATTGCCACGTTGGGTTTTATATATATAAAATGGTGCCAGGCTAGCCAAGGCTACAAAGCAGAGTGCCTTCTTCACAAACCTAATGGTGAAAATGGGCCACTTCTGTGACTGTGGGAGAGGGGACTCTGCCCAGGAAGGACAGGCGGGAACATCAATCACCTGGGGAGGATCAAGGGTATACAGATGCCTAACAGTCCACTGAACTTGAGACTTGTGGTGTACTTGAAGAACTTTACTGCTATTACTTCCTATCTCAATTTTATACATGGAAAAAAATAATTTCTAAGTAGTTTTGGGAGTTTCTGAATAGGCAGAAAACAAATATTTTATCTCTTGTTCAAGTGCATAATAATCCAAAGTGTTTTAATAGAAACAACAATGCTGAAGACACCTAGCTGTGATGCAGATACCAAATAAAGATGAAAATATATAAATTCAAATTACAACAGGGCTTTGATGGGGTGATAGCCAATATAATTTAAATAGCAAAGTCCAAAAAACAGGCAAAGGCCCTATTGGGCTAGACTCATAGGAAACTCACCTTCAAATAAAAGATCACCTATACCTCTCAGTCCAAGAAACCCAACAGAGACAGAATGGGCTAGGCTGAATTTTAATGAGAGTAAAGGCATTACAGACAATGATGAATTCCATCATCAATCTAGCTATGTAGACTGGGGGAGGCGGCTGCAGGCTCAATGGGTTCATTAGCATACCTGAGAAATTCGAGGGAACTTCCGACAGGAGAAGTCAGTAAATCCTAAATCATGGAAGCCAGCAGGAATTGAAGGATTGTTCTGGATGAAAGGTCTTCCCATTGCATCCCTGGGAAGCTGTTTGTGGACAAGTGCATTGTGGCGCAGCAGTCCTCGATGTGTTCGAAAGGTGACACAGCAAATGTCACATCTAGAAGGGAGGGACAGCCATATAAGGAGACAGTTCAGACAGAGTTTCCACTCCTCTATGTGCTTTACTATAGATCTTGCTTCATTTTAGTTGAGTAAAACAAAATGAAGCATAAGGAAGCTGGTATGATAGTAACTAGCACCAAAAATACTCTTTCTCTTTTTTTTTTTGGTCTTTTTGAGACAGGGTCTCCCTGTAGCCCCAGCTGTCCTGAAACTCACTATGTAGACTAGGCTGGCCTTGAATTCACAGAGATCCACCTGCCTCTGCCTCCCAAATGCTGGGATTAGAGGTGTGTGCCATCACGCCCGGCTAAATGTAAAAATTTTAATATAAGGTCACATAGCCAGGAAGAAACAAACAGAAAATGTGAGGTCCAACTCCTATCCTTCTCTGCACAAGGCTGTCTCATTTAAAAAGATAATCATGACTCTTCACTTCAGACATCCTCAAATGTTCTGGATCTTATATAGACATGAGACAAACACCACTTTATAACATGACACGTTTTTTTGTGGTTGTTTTTATTTTTTAGGGTCTCTCCGTATCCCTAGCTGGCCTGGAACTTGCTCTGTAGACCAGGCTGGCCTTGATCTCATAGACATTCGCCTGTCTTTGCCTCCCAAGTGCTGGGATTAAAGGCGTGCACCACCATGCCTGGCAATATGTCAGCATTTTTCATAGCACTGTTGTCATCATCTATATCTTCATTGAGAACAAAATTTCAAATGCTATAATAATAATAGTAGTAGTAATAACAAATAATATTTTAGGCTCCAGATTGCACTCAATACAGTCACAGGAGCCACATGTGGCTATTTAAATGGAAATTCATTACAATTCCTCATTCACATAAACCTCACTTCCAGAGCTTATTTGTGTGGGGAAGGGCAGATGTTGCACATTTACACGATGGCAGAAAGTTTTGTATGCCGAGGATCATTCCACACGCTTTACTTGTACAGCCACATTCAACTCTTGCAAGCCCTCTAAGGTAGGTCTTATTACCACTGTTTTTACAGAGCGGTAAAGCAACTTGTTCCCATTTACAATATATATTAATGGAAACCATTTTTGCCGTTTATTCTTCTCTGGAAGGAAAACGAAAGACAATGAAGTAGCTCAGCTCACTCGGAGGTAATGCGAGGGAAAGCCCCGTTTATCACTCCTTGGTGGGCTGTGGTAGAATGCAGACTTGTCACAGGCCACTTCCCTTCTTTGCAGTTATTTTGGAGATCACTGCCCTCCCCCTCCTCCTCCACCTGGCAAAATTTCTGCCATCATTCAACTACATTTAGAATAACAGGTTCCCATTAAGCCACTAGTGGCTCCTGTGGGCATTTCTACTTGCAGTTTTCAATAACTCTCTCTTCCTATGGTAATTTACTACATGTACTTTGTGAAGAGTATCTGCGGCATTTTAATCTTTACCAGTGCCAGGCACTGTCCAGGATGCTAAGATGCTACACTACACATCTACGCTCATTTCTCCCTAGTAACACTGAGATAAACATTAGTAAGAATCAGTGCTCATTCAGTCACATCTGAGAGTAGAACATTTAGTCTCAGCACATCTTTAGCTGTGAAGTCAACAGGGCTTATGCTCTACAAAGACGGGCTTGTTAATCAAAGCCAAGAAAAGAGAGGTCTCACAAAATAAGTTACACAGCTGTGGCATAGTGGCATAAGCCTTTAATCCTAGCACGTGGAGGTAAAGGCAGGTGTATCTCTATGAAATCTACATAGTGCATTGTAGGCTATAAGGAGACCCTGTCTTGAAAACAAACAAGTTATATACACTTTAAATGTTTAATTTAATGTATATGTTTGAGATATAAATGTAAATGTCAAACATGATCTTCATTGCTTGAGAGTTCTGCACTTGCAAATTTGTGTACTAAATTGAAATCTACTTGTAAATCTCAAACTGATAGCTGAGCTGCTTTCGTGTTCATTCACAGATACATAAAAACAGGATAAATCTGAGCTGCCTAATACATGTTCTCAGCTAAGACTGAGGAACTTACACTTAGCCTTTTTTCTCAGCTTGTAAACTGTAAGTGATTATCCTTTATGTTATTTCATGCCATGTTCATAACATTTTTGTGCTCTTTGCTGATCATTTCGGTATATAAGGGCCCCTAGATATCGTTCTCAAGTGCTGTCTAGTGTCTTAAGCATAAGAGACGGTGATGTGATTTAAAGAAGGTACTTTTGTTAGAGAAGCTTTATTCAGGCATGTGTTACAGTAGTGCAAGTTGTGAGTGCAGGTTGTGTTAATGAGTCAATCATACATATTAAATACAGCAGCTTTAAACAGAAATATACAGTAAAGAGGTTATTCACTGGTTAGCTAATGGAAATGTGACTAGGGGCAGCAAGGAACCTTCAGCATTTGCTGCATCTGTTTGCAGTGACTGCAGAACCCAATCATCAATAAATGAGAACCTGGGCCTTTCGTAGCCACAAATTCTACACTCATAGATTCAAACATAACTGGTTAAATATTTAAACTAGGGCTCAGAGACGACTCAGTGGCTAACAGCACATGTTGCTCTTTCAGGACCAGAGTTCAGTTCTTAGTAACCCAAATCAGGTGGCTCACAACTGCCTCTAACTTCAGTTCCAGGGGATTGGATGCCTCTTCTGGCATTTGGAGGCACCCATGTGCATGTGTACACACGCACACACACACACACACACACACAAAATCTTTAAGAAAAAAATCATATAAATATTGAAAATATTTAGAAAAAAATGCACCTGAAAATGCATACTTTGTTTCTTGTCATTATTCCCTAAACTATACAGTACAATAATTCATACAATATTTCCATTGTGTCAGGTATATAAATAATCTAGAGTCCCATGGGAGGACGTGCATAGGATCTATGCAAATATTGCACTTTCTTGAAGGAACTTGAACATCTACAAGTTCTTGTACTTGCAGAGGACCTGGATCTAATCTGTGGCTACCTAGGAACCTGTCTTTCTACAGAGCACCAAAGCCTCACGTGAGAGGCGACTGCTGACTGCTGTGGCATGCCATCATTCCTGCACCAATCATACACATGAATTCTGATCACTAACTGTAGCAAAGACTGAATTTTTCCCAAACCAAACCAAAGTACAGCCGCAGTGGAGGTGTGCACCTGTGACTAGGTCCAGGTCAACCTTGGCTACATAGTGAGACCCTGCCAAAAGCAAAAACAACAGCAATGACAACAAAACACCAAAAGGAAACAAAACAAAAAGCAAAAACAAAAGCAACCCCCCCACACACCTAAAGCAGAACCCTATACTTTCTCAATTGTCTAGCACTTTGTCCACCCTAAATTTGGCAGCAATTTAAAAAACTGCCCTGTTAATAGGCATTGTAAACAAACCTTTAAGTTTCCACAGAGACGATTCTTTTTTAAAATGGTTCATTTATTTTTACTGTAGTATATGAGTGTATTGCCTACATGTATATAGATGCACCTGTGTGTGCAATGCCTGTGGATTCCAGAAGAGAGTGTCAGATCCCTTGGAATAGGAGTTAGGGACTGTTGCTAACCACCATGTGGGTGCTGGGAACCAAACCCAGATCCTCTGCAAGAGCTGCGGGTGCTCTTAATCATTGAGCTAATCTCTCCAGCTCCTTATATCAAATTCAAATCATACCAAATAAATAGCATTACTGATATAATTAAATGGGGAAAAATAATGCTGACTCTTGGTGGCATGTAAACTGCCTATAAAAAAGTTGCCAGGTAGACCCAAGAAGTGGGCTGCAAACTCTGTGAACCTTTTATCTTACAGAGTCTAAAAAATTAAACTTATACTTGCATGCATGCAAATGGGTTAAACTATAAAATATTAAAATTCTATTCACCTTGTTTCAGATATTTCTGAATATACTTCCCTTCAGACTGCTATACTAGTACATATTCTATCAATTATGAATACTACTCAGCATGAGGGGCAAAGGGTAGGTTTTATAAAGGAAATGGGGAATGATCCTTAATATGTCAATAGAAATTACTGTTCCCTATGGAATAGCTTCACATGTAGAAGGCACTCAATAAACACATGGCAAAATCTCTGAGCACCAACTACAAGCCCTATACCCTCATGCAAGGCAGCTGTGGAGCAGTAAGAGGAGGGAAGGGACTCAGGGACCCAAGAGGCAGGGGTATGAGGAACTCAAGGCAGGTGACCCTGGATAGCTTATTTACTTGCTGGTGATGTAAAATTTCCAAACATGACTGAGATAAGAGTGATGGTATAACACTGTTAATAACTACCTGGTCTAGGAATCTGTATGAACAAGCATACCACTATACTCCAATTGTTAAGGAAATTACTCTAAGAATTAAATGCAAGGAGCTAGAGAGAGAGCTCAGTGGTTAAGAGCACTGGTTGCTCTTACAGAGGATCCAGGTTCAGTTCCCAGTACCCACAACTGCCTGTAACTCCAACTCCATTTAGAATCTAGAAACATCTTAAGCTGAGCCTATAGCTCCTGATGAAAAACGGCCCACACTTTACTCATCTTTGTAACTTCTGCTTTCCTTCTTTAAGCCTCAGTTTTCTGTCTTACCTGTGCTAATGGGATCTCTGGGGTCACTCTGAATAACAGAGGTGAAATGCTTTGAAAATTGCAAGGGACTACTTCATTATTTTATTGTAATAGAAGAAAAACAGAAATCTGGAAAAGCTGATTCCTTAGCATATGTTAGCAAGAAAGGCCAAGTGTAGGGCGCATCCCTGTAAGTTCAGCACTCAGGAAGCTAAGGCAGGAGGATCTCCAGCCTGGGCTACGCAGCAAGACCCTGTGAAAAAGAAAAAAGAAAAGGATGAAAGAAGGGGAAGAGGGAGAGGGAGAGGTAGGAAGTGCAGGAGAGAGGGAGGAAAAGAAAAATAAAGATGTGCAGGCATGGTGGAGCACCCCTTTAATGCCAGCACTTGGGAAGCAGAGGTGGGTGGATCTCTGTGAGATCAAGGCTAGACCGTCTCAA